TTAATAGGACTGTAAACTCCTGCAGAATTGTAGCTTGGGATAAATTACAGCTCACCCTCAGCATCACCTTTCTGCAGTACTTACTGTCATTATGTGCTGGCAGTTCAGTAGGCTATAGAGCAACCAATATATATTTGACAAAGACTTTTATACATTTTTTAATATTCATGACTACAAAAATGGGGAGAAATGCAAAAAAAAAAAGTGCTTATTTTCAGATTGTTATAAAATGCCCTAAAATAATAAACAATATAAAACATAAGATAATTTAAAGCAATAAGTTTTTACATATAAGCTATTTATATGGTGATCTCTTTCTTCTATTATCCATGAACAAAGTAATTTATATAAAACCAAAAAGAACATAAACTCATATGTCTATCTACTATTCTTCAAGTCCAACAGAAGAGGTGGGCTGGGATACAGTCTGTTCCTTTGAGCTGACTGGCCTATAATTTTAAGCCCTAAATCCTGTAATCAGGTTCACTAGTACAGCCCTGCACCTGCAGGGAGCCTTGCTGGTTCTGCTAGCTCGCAACCCATGAGGTACCAGATCCTCCTGCAGGATCTGAGGATTTAACTAAACTGAACAAAATTTGGTGTCAGATTGAAAGTTCACTCTCTGCTTGTAGTTGGAAAATACAAAAGAAAGCACAGGAAAAAATCATACATTAGGTCTGTGATATCATTAAAGTCAGTGCAGTCATTTCAAATTAGTAATGACATAAAAGTAATCTGAACTTGGCCTTTGAGGTTATGTTCTATTAGTTTGCTAATATTGTGTAAATTCTATATTTGAAAGGTATCCTGCAGTCATCTTGGCCCTTCTCTTTTAAAGGAAACTTCTGCTTAAAATCTGCTGATACCAGCTCAGGCCATTATTTTATAATTTCTTTTTAAATCACAACTGATTTTTAGGGTCCATATTTATGTCTACAGGCAACATCAATCCAGAGAAAGAAGAGTGGTGAAAAGAAATTTGTTTTTAAGTTGACAATCAATAAACAGTTCCAGCTAAAAAACTATGAAAAAGTAAATTAAAAAATACACCACAAATATCATGTATACCATTAGAAAGGTTTATGATACTAGAAATACTAGTTCCATGCCTCCTTATGGTTGGTGAGTATCAACCACTAAAAGTCAATTTGGCATACTTATTGGCCTAACCTGTTTTGTTTATACAGTGTGTCTAGGCTAGGCATAATTCTACTGCTTGCAGCTTGGGCTTAATGCAAGAAAATCTACAGTGGTAACAGGAGCAATCTGAAAAATTGCAAAGTGAAATACTTGCTGGGTTGCATATAGGAATACCTTAAGCCTATAGGAATACCTTACTGTGTGTTGTCCCACTCAGGACCTAAAATGGCTGTTTTGCAGGGAGTGTTGTTGCCTGGTGACCAAAAGTGCATCTCCTAGGCCACAGAGGGATGTGAACATTCAGAAATTGATTTGTTCCTGTTGCTCTTGAGGAGACCATACCCGTAAAATAGATTAAGCCAGCACATAATCATCTATGCAGTCTCCTTGCTGGCATGCTTAAACTTGATACTGAAGACAGGCCTGTGATTTTGAGCTACTTATCAACCAGGAAAGGGAAAAATAGAATAATACCTTGTGCACTACTGCCCACAGAATATGAAAGCAGACCAAGCCTCAGCTACTGTGAGACTGCAAGACACCCCTGCTTCAATTAAGTCTGTGTTGTACATCTAGCCTGTTCCGGTGCAACCTCCCAGTTGCTATCAGGCTCTCTTTCTTTCATTAGAATCAAGTAGTTAATTAGCCCCAGCCTGTCCTCTCTCCTTCTCTCTTTCCCTTTAACGCAGCAGTAATGATGTCTAATTACCAGCAGCAGTGGATTACAGCACCATCAGGAGCAAATCTCTCTGGCTGACAGCAAAGCTGAGCAGCAAATCTTAAAGCTTCAAGGAGAGAATAATTCCTAACGAAGCATTTGAATATTTGCTTATTTTTGACCAGCTTGTGACTGTAGAGTCCAACTTGTAATTTCATCCATCCTGTTACTACACAGGGAGTGCTCATGCTGCCAACGGTGATTAATTTTAAATTGAAATTGCTTTTACCTATGGTGAGATCAAGTGATGGACAAGAAGAGGGAGAGAATGAGTGAGAGATTCACAGTTTGAGGGTCTGTTACCATTTGGGTCTCTCTCTGCAGACTGGACAGGCTCAAATGTACAGGGTAATAATGAGAGATGAGGGAAAAACCAGAAACAGTGGGGATGTTTCCAAATGGTCATAAATTAATAAACTCTTAAATTATAAGAGTTAAAGAAATGAGAGAATGGGCTTTTAAGGCTTACCAACAATTACTGTCTGATGAAAATCCAATTTTTTCCCCCAGTAACTTATCATTCCCAGCTGGGTGAAATTCTAGGGCCCTTGAGTCAACAGGAGCTTTGCCACTGGCTTCCTTTGGGCCAGGGGCTGCATCCCTGTTCTATCACAGAGATTCTCTCTGAGCTTTCAGTGCCCAGCAGGTGCTGCCCCAGCTCTGGAAATAGCCCATAAAAACCATTGCCACTCTGCTAGTCTGCTTAAATACTCCTCTGCCTTTTGTGATGGAGTAGTGGCACCAGATTCACAGGTTTAGGAGAGGGTGGCATTTGTTTCTCAGAGCTGAATGTTGTATGGGAGTGCCAAGCAACACCTTTTCTCATTTGTGTTGGACAACAGATTTACATTTGCCAGCAGGAAGAAATTCTACCTACATGCAAGATCTCTTCTGTAAAGGTTTATATGTCATTGTTCAGGTAATATACAGGTATTCAGGAACTGCTTCCAGATAGGTCATGCTAACTTTCCTTTCTTGATTTCATTAGCAGACATCCTTATTTTATTAGAATGCCTGATTGGTTGCTTAAGCTATCCAAAAACAGTTACTTCTATATTAATATAAATACATATATAGGGCCATACAGAGACATTCACAGCCAAGGGTTTGACTCCCCAAATGCAGCAAAGGTGAGACCAGCAAGATGCTCGACCTCTGACTGAAATCCCTGGTGGGGAAAAAAAAAAATAAAAATTGATTCTGTGTTCTAAAAATAGAAAACAGGAGGCAAGGTGGGACTCCAGGCTTTCATGGCATAGCAAAGGTGAGAGAAAATAGACAACCTGATCATCACTGAGTCTTGTATTTCAGACACCCAAAGCAGCCCTTAATTTTTAAATTCCATCTTGTAAAATAAAGGTTAGTCTCTTTTTTTAGTAGCAAAGTCAATGTAATTTTAAAAAATACTGAATTTGCTTACAGTTTTGAACTTGCGGTGAAAAGGATAGTCTTGGGAATATACAATCATGCTCACTGGCTCACCAAAATAATTATTTCAGTGAGCAGAAGAGATATTTAAAAATACCGACCTATTTGGAGACTTGCTTTAGACAACGTTTTTGTTATAAATTGTATCTACGTTACCCTCTGGCCTCAGAAATTAGCAGTCATCTAACAGTAGAACAGCCAAATAACCTGAATCTATATGCAGACTTGGAACACTTCAGTGAATAAAAACCTTAGAGAAGGAACAAACTCTGTCCAGAGCTGCTTTTTCATTTTCAATCTTCAGATTTGTAAACTCCTTAAAATTAATTTCCCGTCTCTGCCTCCTCACAGCCACGACAGAACTGATGACAAGGGGGCAAGTAGAAGCCAGCCTCTGGGAATGCCCAGGTTTATGACTTCAGCAAGGCAAAGAGAGGCAGATTTCCCCAGCAGCCTACGTCACAACCCAACCCAGAATACTTTCCAAGAAGCCCCCTTCGCTGCGCCACTCAGCAACGTTCCCGTTAGGTCCAGATAAGCTGCCACTCCAGGAAAAAAAAAAAGGGGGGGAATAAAAAAAAAAAAAAAAAAGAGAATATTGCTCATCCAAGCCAAATGCCCAGGCAGGAATATTTTTAATTGCTGGGTTTCCTTTCTCGGCTCCCCCTCCACACCCGCCCCACGCACAGACAAAAGAAGCTTAGTTTGCGTGACCCAGCACATAAGTAAGAATAATGATACATTAAGAGAGTTCAATAGGCAAAACCTACTTGCAACCAACAGTCCCCATCTTCTTAAAAAGGAAAATCTGTCGCTCCTGCCACCACCAAGCATAATAGCTCTCCTGCTGTCAGACCTGCACCGAGTCCGCAGCGCCAGCGCCTGCCGGGGATGCCCCGCCACCCTACCGCATTGAACGGAGTGCCGAGGGGCTCCCGCGACCCCAGAAAGAGTCACAAAATACACCCTTCCCTCGCTCATGCGGAACCCCGTTCTCCCTTTGTTGAGCATCCTCTCTCTCCCCCACCGCCCCCTACTAGCGCAGCCGGCGCTTCACAATCAAGCCGGGCACATTTCGTGGCCGCTCGGCGGCGGCTTCAGGGCTGCGGGCTAACAATAAAAAAAAAAAATTAAAATAATAAATAATAAATAAATAAATAAATAAATAAATAAATAAATAAATTATAACCCCCAACCGATATCCTGGGGAACCACCGCCCGGCGCCGCGCCTGGCTTTGTGCCAGGCAGGGTACCCCCGTGCGCCATCCATCAGCCCCGCCGGCGGCGGGGGCCGCTGCCCGGGGCGGCGGGGCCCGGCACAATGGCCGGAGCGGCGGCGGCGGCGGGACAATAGCCCACCCAAACCGCGCCGCGGCGGCCCGGGGGAACGGGGGGGACGAGGAGGATGAGGAGGACGAGGAGAAGAACCACACCGACCCGGCGGGGTGCGCCGTGCGCGCGATCGCTTTAAATGAAAGGACCCACAAAGACCTCGGCGGTGTATAATGTGACAGGCAAACGCAACATGGTGATGATGACTTGGGGGAAGAGGGAGGAAGGAGCCAACTGTGGCTGCGGCTCCCCCTGCGCCTCTCGCTCCCGGAGCGGGCTGCAGCGGCCGACATAGAACAAGGAAGACAATTCTCTACTAACCGTGGTTTTGACTGGCACGTACAGCACTTGCTTCCCTCCTCCAGCACCACCACTGACCTCGTCCGAGTTGCCGAGCTGGAAGCCTTTAGATTTGACCCAGAATTTGAATTTGGCATTATCCGTGGAGCTCGACTCGGAGCCGTTCAGGAGCTGGACGATCCGGTCGTATTTTTTACGGGTCACCGTCTTGGTTTTTCCAGAGTCCCCGTAAGTCCTGAGACACCAGTCCTGGAACTGGCGGTACATGTCCCGGTCGCTGCTCTCCATAATCTCCTAGTACACACACGCACACATGCACACGCCGGGGCGCACACACACACACACACACACGGACAGACACACGGACACGCACACGAAGCGGGCCGGGGTGCGGGGCCGGGCCGCCCCGCCGCACTTTGCACCTGTTCACCCAGCGCTCATGAAAAATGCATCCACCTCCGAGCCGGAGCGAAGGAGGTCCCGGTGCAGACAGATCCCAGCGGATTTTTTTTTTCTTTTTTTTTTTTCTTTTTCTTTTTTTTTTTTGTTGTTGTTGTGGTGGTGGTGGTGGTGGTTCGGGGGGGTGGGGGCACCGGGAGGGGAATGGGGGAGGGGGCTAGCAATCAATTCAATAGTGTGGCAATGTTCTCCTTCATTTTTTTTTTTTTTCACAGGAGGCAAAACGGGTCTGGTGGAGGCTCCTCTTATCCTTCCACAGTACGTGATCAGTCTCTTTAATAATTGTGCAAGGCAGGACTATCCCACTGGCTCCAGCAGCGTCTTACCCGGAGAGGGTTCGGTTGGATAAATAATTAAAATCCTATCCCTCAGCTTAGCGAAGAGAAAAGAAAATATTGACTCGGATCCTTCTTCTTTTCCGTACATCAGCTGCACCCAGATTCACCCTGGATAGTGCAGGTGAAGAAAAGAATAAAGAAAAAAAAAAAAAGGGAAAAAGAAGAGAAAAAGCCCACCCTCCTTCGCCCCGGCAGCCCTTGGCTGTCTTCTCCGAAGGCTTTCTGGGTTTTCTGTCTCTGTCCTGGCGGGCTGTGCCTCTCCCCAAAGCCGCCTCGCCGCGCAGGATGGAGGAAGCACTGAAGGGCACACTGGTCTCTTTGCTCCCCCTTTATTCCAAGGCTGGGCGGCTTTGCTTCAGAAATCCCCGCTCCGGGCATGAAGGTACTGGAAAGAAAGTTCTTACCTGCTATTTTCTAAGCCTAATGCATCCAATCCACGTTTAAAGTACGTATTTTTTAATTAAAAAAAAATGGTCTGTGACCATTTCACTTCCTCATATTGAGTCCCACTGAATTTTAATATGCCCTTTTAGGAATTTTCCTCTATTTATTTACTTAGCAATCCCAGCCGACGAAGGAACAAAAAAAAAAAAAAAAAAAAAAGGAAAGAAAGAAAAGCCAGATATATACAAGATAGGCTCGGATATTGGACCAAAGGAGAGATCAGTCCCAGGAGGATGTTGGTACAGGAAAGGAGGCGGCTCTCGTTGCTCTGCCAGTGTAATGATGGTGCTCACACATGTAGGACTCCTCGGGTGCGGGGTATCCTTTGGTCTCTGGGCTAAACTGGCTACAAGGCATTCAAGTAAGTTTGCGTGCGGATGCTGAGCAAAATCCCTCTTTTTAAAGGGGGAAGAAGAAGGAAAAAAAAAAAAAGCAATCCTGATTTTTTTTCCCCCTCCCTCTGCCACAGTTTCAGTTCACGCCGGAGATCTCCGCGCTCTCCCCGGTTTCCCTCGCCGCGTCAAACAGGACACCCCCTCCGCTGGGGGGGGGAAGGCTCCGCTGCGGCGCTTCCTCTCGTCGCCTCTCCGCGGCCGCGCCCGCCCGCGCCTCCGCCATCCAGTGCCCGGCTCCGCGCCCCCGCCCGCAGCCGTGCGGCACCTCCGCGGCCGGGGAGCGCGGCCGGCCCGCGCACGGCTAGGGATGCGCCGGGAGCCCGCTCGGTTCGGCTCGGCTCGGCTGGGCTGGGCTGCGCTGGGCTGGGCTGGGCTCAGGCGGTCCGCTCCGCGCTGCGCTCCGCGCCGGGCTGGCGGCGGCGGCGGCGGCGCACCGGGCCGGGCCCAGCGCCGCTCCGCGCCCCCCCCGCGCCCTGATTGGCCACCGGGACAAAAGTTTCTGTGGCGACGGCGGCGCGGCGCCGTGACGGGCAGCGCTGTCCCATGTCGGGATGCTCCCGCCTCCGCGGCCGCGCACCCGGCCCGGGCCGCCGGGGACGGGGAGGGGGGGATGCGCGGGGGGAAAGAGAGGCGAGGGCAGCGTTTCCATGGTGATGTCTCGGGGCGCAGCCCCCACGCCCCCCGCCGCCTCCCCGCTCGCAGACGGAGCGAGCGGATCAGCTGACACTTCATTAGCTGAGGACCTAATTATTGCTTATTGGAGCAAGAAACGCGCGCAGGGCCTCGGCGGGGGGCTGACGGCCTCCTCGCCCCCGCCGGACATCCTCCCTCTCGGCAGCCTCTTCCCCCGCGCTGCCGGCGGAGCGCAGGAGGAGCGGCGGTACCGCGCACTTTGCGCCGCACCGGCCGGCGGGGCCGCGGCGGGCACGGTGGGGTCCCTGCGGGACACGTGGCCGCTGCCGGGCCGGGCTTTCCCTCGGAAACGGAGAGCGAAGCCCCTCCGCCGCCTCCCCCACGGCTCGGCCCCCGCCTGGCGGAGCGGAGGGGCCGCGATCCCCCGAGCGCCCCCCTCCAGCGCTCCCCGCATGTCCTGCCCAATTGCGGGACTCTCCGCTCGGCCCGCCTCCGCCGAGCAGCCGCGCCTTGGGCCCCGCGGGCGGGGCTCGGCCGAGGCTACCCGTGGCACCGGACCCCGCGCTGCAGCGGTCATTGGGTGGGAGGGGAGCCCAAAATCCGCCGCAGCCCAGCCGCGTGCCCTTTTCGCCTTCCGTGCCCTGACACGAAGGAGGCTGTGGGGTCGCGTGCTGTAGCTCGGGTGTCTTCCGCAGAAATCCCACCTGTGCCTAGGTATCCAGCCATGTGGGGCCTGGAAGGGCCCGGTGCAAAGGCAACCTGTGTGTTTTTCCTGCCCAGGCTTGGGTAGTGGTGAGCACCCTCCACTTTCACCACCTTGGATCCTGCAGGAAAAGGCTGCCATGGGCTGTGGTGCCAGCCGAACTGTTTACACAGAGCCTAGATTTCTAGTGTAAAAGGGGAAGGTTCTAAGAGTGCCAGGAGAAGCCATTCCTCACACTCCCCAGCCAGGACATGCTGGTCCATCAGGCTGGCCCTGTGCAGGAACACCTCAACATGTACCTGTCCTCCCCTCTCTTCTCTCCCCTCTCCTCCACTTTCCCACCTCTCAGCTCCCCTCTCCTCCCAGTCCCATGTTTACTTTTCTGCTTTCTGTCTAGAAACACCACCGCAAACACAGGCAGGCCACGATAGGACTGTTGTTTAAAAGCAGCATCCTGAAGGATGTCTGTGTTGTCAAGACCTTTGCTAGCATCTGTAAAATCTGAGAGGACAAGCTGGCACAACGGGCAGAGAAAAGTAGGATTTAGAGATAACTCAAGGAGGCCTGAGACTTTTTGTTGGCCACAGGGCCCGTAAATTATCTTGGCAGCCCCGTTTTAGTGTTAGAGGAGCTCGGGACTCCCGTCCATCACAGGATCTGGAGGAGAAGCAGTAACAAAGGAACTGCTGTGCAGAAGGGAAGCGAGGGGAACCTCGTTGAACCCTTACCCAGCAGGCTTTATGGGATGTAACATTACTTTAATGTGCCATTAGATCTACATTTAGAAAAAGGGTCATAACGTAGATTGGGCTGCACTGCTAAACAATTCTGTCAGATAATTGTTCTCAGCCCAGCCTCCTGCTGAGGGTCTCAGTAACTTCCGTATCACACTGATACTGTGCTATGCCTGAATCCAAAGCAGGCACACAGAGCATGGTGGGGGAAGGAAGACGTGGCAGAGACAGGAGTTACGGTCCAGACAGTTATAGCATGGATGAGTGAAATGCTTGAAACACGCAGAAGTGGTTTAGTATATCAGAAAATAATTCTATAGCCAGGAGTATCACTTTGGATCATGTAAAGAGCTCTGTACCTTCTCAGCGGAGAAAAATTCCTAAAATTCAATCAAGTTTGGACCATGCTTTAAAAAAAAAAAAAAACCAACAAACAACAACAACAACAACAAAAACAAAACAAAACAAAACAAAAACACAAAAAAACCCACACACACCAAACCAAAACAAACACAGAATTATTAATTATTTTTTCAAACTGTTTAGTGACAGGAGAGAGAATCATAGAATTCTAGAATGGTGTGGTTTGGAAGGGACCTTTAGGATCATCTAGTTCCAACTCCCCTGCCATGGGCAGGAACACCTTCCACTAGACCAGGTTGCTCAGAGCCTCATCCAACCTGGCCTTGAACACCTCCAGGGGTGGGGAGTCCACGACTTCTCTGGGCCACCTGATCCAATGCCTCACCAACCTTATAGTAAAGAATTTCTTCCTAGTATCTAATCTAAACCTACCCTTCTTCAAGTTAAGGCCATTCCCCCTTGTGCTACCATTACATACCCTTGTGAAACAAACATGGATGAAAACCACCTGCTGTGTGAAGTGGGGATGGAGAGTAGAAATTTGAGTAATATTTAACTCATCTGGATTTTTTTCTTTGTTTTACAGTTAAGATTTTTGATTCATGTTGATGAAAGGTATAGATGTTTTATTACTGCTTCCATTAATCATTTGGCTAGAAGTCCTAGGAGCATCCTGGTAGTGCACCCTGCCAGGCAATGGATCAGCACAGGACACAAAAATTATGCTTCCCATAAAGAATTTGTGATCTAAAGAAGGTCAATTGCATGGTACATGATTTCACTTTTATATAAATCTAGAATGCAGATTTTTAATCTCCAGTTTTGGGATCCTCTGAAACTCTGAAATTAGTACTATAAGATTATATTTAAATACAAAAAATTACAGGGGGTTAAGTTCACTCTTCTGGTTTGGGGTTTGCTATTTGGTTTTGGTGGGGTTTTTGTATCTGAATTAACAGGATTTAATAACACAGCTCCTTGCAATGAAAAGGGCTTGCACAGACCCTCCTCCTGTTAAGAGTTCTAATGGCACCCCATTACTCAGCTGAACTTGAACAAATTCCCCTAGCATCCCTGGGGAGAGGGACCGTGTTGATCCTTCGATGCCATGGACTGAAGCTGTTTTGCATTCTGCAGAACTCACTTGCCTTTGCCAGAAAATGAAAGTTTCTCTGCTCTGGTTTGGAGACAGCAAATCTGTGCCTTGCTGGCTTGTTTGCTCTGCAGCCAGCCCGAAACAATACACCACCGACAGATGTGTGAACTTTTCCATTCAGTGGAATGAAGTGTTAGCTGCAAAACAGAGTTTTGGTGATTTGAATTGCCTCATGTGCATCAAGCTGTGAAAGAGGTTTAAAATAAATCATGAATAAGTTACAAATATTGTATTTTTTGAATTATCAGCTCTAACAAGTCCACTGGCAATGGAAAGTGAAGACAGGCAGAATGGGGCCTGATGTCTCTCATTAAAGTTACCAGTGTTTCTAGACAAAATTACAGTCTTGCAGTGACATAGAACTGAGTCTGTGGAAAAAGCTGAGAAGACATTTTCAAGTTTTTAAAACTTGCTGAAAAAAAGAGAGAAGGGTTTTGGCTGAAACCTGTCATGTTACTTCCAATAGAGGTGAGTGTTTAGAAATATGCACCGTATTTCAACCCAGTGCTTGATGTGGAGTTACTGGGTGGCTAAGCCTAGTCTTTGAGGATAAGAATTTTCTGCCTCTTGGGTTTTTTGTTCACTGACATACTAACAAAAAAAATTATTTTGACACTTCTGACTTGCCATGTCCATGAGTTATGATGGAAAGTCCTTTTCTGCGCAGACTGAAAATCTTCTTCCTAAACTGAGAGAAGATGTCCTGAGAAATAAACTGCAACTCCAAATGGTTTGCTTTAAACTGTGTACCTGGTAGGGATTTTCCTCTCTTCTGGAGAGAATTTCAGTGGAAGTCTCTTGTTGGATCCTTTACAGCATGGTGATGGCAGTAACAATGAGCACTGCCAGCCCTAATACTTGTGGATGCAGAAATCAGCGTTCACACACTGCCTGGACTTGTCTGTGCTCTCTTCCTTTGGTCTCGTATATGACAAAGACCCCTGAGTGGTTCAATAATCGGTCACCTGCATTTGGGGAGGTAGGACTCTGCTGTGACACAGCTTCCCTGAGGGGAAAATACTGTTCCACCCACTAATATTACTGGCAAAGGACCATTCTAGAAAACTGTTCTTAAAGATAACTCCAAGGTATTTGCTGCTTAGAAGATCAGAAACTAGGGAGTTGGATACTTGGTGGTACTAATGTGTGAAAACTGCAAGCAAATGAATGTTGCCAATGATTTATCTACTGAGTGAGCTATCATGAAGCAAAGTCTAAACTATTAACTGCTGTTCAATATAAATGCTTTCTACACATTGTCTATTGTTTCCAATGTCGATATTCTTCTCTATTTTTTCAGTAGGTTTTGGTCAGCTACTTCCGACTTTGGAAAATTAGGGGGAGGTAGACCAAGGCAATGACTCAGAGATGGCTTCT